CTCCTTTCCTCCCTCTCTTTTTCTTATTTTTATTTTATTTATTTATTTAAATTTTCTTTTTCAAATTTTAAATAAATTTGAGAGAGAGAGACAGAGCATGAGCAGGGGAGAGGCAGAGAGAGGGAGGCACAGAATCCGAAGCAGGCTCCAGGCTCTGAGCCGTCAGCAAAGAGCCTTATGCGCGGCTCGAACCCACAAACTGTGAGATCATGACCCGAGCTGAAGTCGCATGCTCAACCAACTGAGCCACCCAGGTGTCCCCTCTTTTTCTTATTTACACTACCATTTTCCTATACCCCATCTTCAAGTCATTTCTTAAGAAGGGATGTGTGGTACATGGATTTTCTGCAAGGGTCATGGCTCTGCCCACACACTTGAATGGTACTTCGGGTGGATATAGACCTTCTGCATTAAGAATTGCTTTTCTTCAGGCACCTGAGTGGCTCCGTCGGTTGAATGTCCCACTCTTGGTTTTGACTCGGGTCATGATCTCACTGTTTGTGGGGCAGGTGGGGCTCTGTGCTGACAGAGAAGAGCCTGCTTGGGATTCTCCCTCTTCTTTTTGCCTCTCCCATGTAAGCTCTCTCTCAAAATAAATAAACTCAAAAAAAAAAAAAAAGAATTGTCTTTTTCACACAATGTTGAGGACGTTCTAGCCTTAGTTTATGGGGATTCTGAAGCTAGTCTAATTCTTTTTCTTTTTATAATTTTAGTTTTTTTAATGTTTATTTATTTTTGACAGAGAGACAGAGTGTGAGCAGGGGAGGGGCAGAGGGAGAGGGAGACACAGAATCTGAAGGAGGCTCCAGGCTCTGAGCTGTCAGCACAGAGCCTGATGTGGGGCTCAAACTCGTGAACCGCGAGATTATGACCTGAGCGGAAATCAAGAGTCCGATGCTTAACCGACTGAGCCACCCAGGCGCCCCTCCATAATCCTATCTTTAATGTCTAGTAACTCACATTTATTTTCTGGTTGCTTCTTTCATAGCATCCTGTCCTTGTTTCGGGTTGCAACAGCTCCTCAAATCCACTTGAAAATACCTGTCAGTTATTGAAAGTTTTCTTGTGTTTCTGTTTCCTAAGTTGTTTCTCTGTCTTACGGAGCATCCTCCCTGCCCCTAATTATTTACCTTTGTTTCCTTTTCACACTGGAGACTTTTGTCAAATGTCTGATGATCTTTGTCTTTCTGTATCTAAGAGTGAGGCTCGGCTGCCCAGTTGGCAGAGTTCTTTTCCTTTGAGAGGGGGGCCTGGGTCACACAGGCGGCGGGGGGGGGGACTCCAAGTAACAGAGGTGGAAGGGCCTTCTTTGGGGTCACTGAACCTTCCATTTGGGGATGGATGCCTGCTGCCCCACGTGTTGCTTAGGAATCGGGTCTTCCTATACTGTTGGCCAATCCCTCTTTGTTCAGCCATGGCTGGGTCTCTGCCTCCCCTGTGCCCTCCAACCCCGTGGCCTCTCTGAGGCCTGAGCTCCATCGCCGTCCTGCTGGGACCATGTGGGGCCTTCCCAGCCGCCTCCCACTCTGGGCTCCCTTCCTCCCCTCCATCAGCATCCACCCTTCTCCCGGTCCACTCCCAAACACCCGCCGAGAATGTCCATCAGTGCTGGGCCCCCTCCTGTTCTCTTCCTCGCTAGGAGAATGTACTTTTCTTCATTGCTTTATTGTCCTTTTGGTGGGAGTCACAGGAGGGGCGACATACGTGTGGCCAGTAGTCTGTCTTTAAACAGAAATCTTCAGGGGCACCTGGGTGGCTTCGTCGGTTAAGCATCTGACTTCGGCTCAGGTCATGATCTCATGGTTTGTGGGTTCGAGCCCTGCATTGGGCTCTGTGCTGACAGCTCAGAGCCTGGAGCCTGTTACAGCTCAAAGCCTGGAGCCTCTTTCAGATTCTGTATCTCTGTCTCTCTCTGACCCTCCCCTGTTCATGCTCTCTCTCGCTCTCTCTCAGAAATAAATAAAACATTTAAAAAAATAAACAGAAATCTTCAATTCCCTCTTTTTTTGTTTATCTATTTTTTTAAAGTAAACTCTACCCTCAACGTGGGGCTCGAACTCATGACCCTGATACCAAGAGTCACACGTTCCACGAACTGAGCCAGCCAGGCGCCCCTTCAATTCCCTTTTAATGTGTCTGTTTTATGGTTTTCAGGCCAAAGGTCACTCTCCCTCTTTTTTTTTTTTTTTAATGTTTATTTATTTTTGAGAGAGAGACAGAGACAAAGTGCAACAAGGGAGGGGTAGAGAGAGAGGGAGACACAGAATCTGAAGCAGGGTCCAGGCTCTGAGCCATCTGCACAGAGACCAATGTGGGGCTTTAACCCATGAACTGTGAGATCGTGACCTGAGCTGAAGTAGGTACTTAACTGACTGAGCCACACAGGAGCCCCTAAAGAGAGACGTTTTAAAGCAATTAGTGTCACCTCTGCAGAGGGCTATTTGGCCACAGCCGTCAGAATTAGGACAGTACCTGGTCCCTGACCTGTGATCCCACTTCTAGGAGCTGTCCATTAGAGAGGTGGTCTTTTTTTTTTTTATGCTTATTTATTTTTGAGAGAGAGAGAGAGGGGAACAGAGAGGGAGAGGGACAGAGCACGGTGGGGGAGGGGCAGAGAGAGAGGGAGACACAGAATCTGAAACAGGATCCAGGTTCTGAGCTGTCAGCAGAGAGTCCGATGCGGGGCTCAAACTCACCAACTGTGAGATCATGACCTGAGCTGAAGTCAGGTAGTTAACTGACTGAGCCACCCAGGTGCCCCTAGATAGGTGTTCTTATGCAAAATGACATATGTGCAAAGATATTTATTGCAGCACCGTTTATTTAGGCAAGAAATGGCGAAAAACCCAAATGACTGAGTAGAGACATAAATTAGATACCACCATATAATGGAGTATTATGTAGTTACACAAATGAGAGCACTCTATATATTGATAGGAAATGGTGTCCAAGATGTATTTCGTAAAGACTGAGGAAGGTAGATTAAGTGGCTAACACTTGTGCAACATTTGTGTAAATAAGATGTGTTTGTGTTGTCTCCACATAAAGTCCAGGGAAGTTTACAGCAACATTCACATCTCCAAGGAGGGGAACTGGCTGCTGGGAGATGGGGTGAGAGGGACACTTTGAGGGACACTTTCATTTATTTTCTTTTTTAATTTTTTTAGTGTTTACTTAGTTTTTGAGAGAGAGAGAGAGTGAGATCGAGAGAGAGAGAGACCAGGAGAGAGGCAGAGAGCAAGGGAGACACAGAATCCAAAGGAGGCTCCAGGCTCTGAGCTGTCGGCACAGAGCCTGACGTGGGGCTTGAACCAACAAACTGTGAGATCATGACCTGAGCTGAAGTTGGACTCTTAACCCACTGAGCCACCAAGATGCACCAAGGGACACTTTCACTATAAATGCTCTTGGACCTTCTAAATTATGGAGCACACAAAGGTGTTGTCTACTAAATATAAATAAATAAAATTTAAAATTCCCCCTTTGTGCCATCTCAATTTAGGTTTTTAAAGAGCAGGCATATTATACTAAATTATTATAAAATAACTTGTATGGTAATCTATATCCTCTGAATTCACATTATGTTCTAATATAACATAGCCCTTTAATATGATATATGCGTTTTACTATATAATATACCTGTATATTACATATTGTATTTATCATTCTTATCCTTTTTAAAGTCCTCTTTATAAAAAAAGAATCTGAAGGGAAAACATCAAAATGCTAACAGTGGTTATTTCTGGGTAGTTGGCATATGAGTGGTTTTAATTTTCTTCTCTCTTCTTTTTCTGTTGCTCTCCCAACTTATTTTAAATTTCTAAAAATTTATTTATTTTGAGAGAGACAGAGACACCAAGAGCGAGGGACAGGCAGAGAGAAGAGGGGAGGTAGGGAGAGAGAGAGAGAGAGAGAGAGAACCCAAGCAAGCTCAGTACTGCCAGCGCTGAGCCCGACACGGGGCTCAATCTCATGAACCTCGAGATCATGACCTGAGCCGAAACCAAGAGTTGGACACTTAACTGACTGAGCCACCCAGGCGCCCCTCCTGCAATTTTTCATGATAGAGATATACTACTTCTAATAATCAGGAAAAAGTCCTGTATGTTCTCCCTCCCCACTGTTTGCAGGAGTCCCTTCAGTGTGCACGTGAGGCCCCTGCCTGCATTTGCATCCTCCTCTGTGGTTGCCCATCCCTCCCACCCCCGTGCCTCCGGGGGGATTTATGACCCCTGAACACGGCCCCTTGGCTGTTCTCTCCTGTCCTGCAGTAATGTAACCCAGTCTGTCCGGCTCAAATACCCCCCTCCTAGATAGAATCAGGGGTGCCCTCCTTTGGGGCCGGGTAACCCACCGTCCCCTCTGGACTGGATTCCTCAGGTGAGTGGCCCTTGTCCTAGGCGTCGCTCTGCTTCCTGGCGTAGCGCAGGCCCTGACTCACCACGGGTGCCAGGAACGGGTGGGCCCAACAGCCGTTCCCTCGTTGCTTCTTCCACCTTCTGCAAGATGGAGGCACTAGGAGAATTACTCCTGGCCGCGGGCTGCACTTCGGTGTCTCCTTTCTGTGTGTCAGAGTTTCTAGGCTGCGAACTCGGTGTTCTGCCTGATGTGGCCGCAGTCCTCGTTCCTTCCCCTCCTCGTGGGGCCCTCTGCCTAAGTGGCATTCTTCAGACAGGGACGCATCTTCCCAACCAACGAGGGCCGCCGGACCGGCCCCCAGTGGTCCGGGGTGAGGGGAGAGGGCTCTCCCAGGGTGGCTCGCCCGGGAGGTAAAGGAGGCCCCTTCTTCATGTCCTTGGAGAACACGGGACTGGGAGACAAGGTGACATTTGCAGCAGAGACTTGTCCACGGCCCCCACTCAGGGGCCTTCCGGTCTTCCTGCCCGCCCCCATCTGGAGGGACGCTGGCCAGAAGGGAGGGGTGGGAGCCGGAGGGGTGACAGAGGCCCTGCTGCCCCTCTCCCTGCCTGGAGGACCTGAGCCTTCTTGCTGTTTTTCAGATCCTTGTGGAAGAAAGTCGCTGCCGGAGAATCCCACTCCTTCCTGGTTTCCCAGAGTGCAGAGACCAGTGGTGCATACACTGCCCCCCGTGCCCCCCATCTCTCACCAAGCCCTGCCCCCAGTTCATGGGGGAGCTGAACCTAAAGGAAATGGCAGAGGGAAAGATGCCAAATTCCTTTCCCGTCCATTTTTGCCCTGGCTTATTCGAGACTTTGCCCCTAACCTGGCCACTGTTCTCACCCTTTCTCCTAAGACTTCCCAAGAGGGTGAGTCTCAACCCGACAGTCTGGACACCGGCTCCTTCGCAGCATCGCCCTTGGATGAGAGCAGCACAAAGGCTGGAGGTGGGGCGCACATGACCCTGGGCCGACTCGGGCCGTTTCCCATGTAGCCCAGACCATTAAAGGTCTCCCCGTGTTCAAAACCCTTCCATTAATAAGCGCTAATGCCTAATACTCACTGAGAACCGGGTGTGTGCCAGACATGATCCGGGTGCGTTTCCTCAGTGCTTACAAAAATGGACATGTTGACTACATCTCTGTTTTGCACACAAGGAAACTGAGGCGCAGAGAGGTAGACGGTGACCCAAGGTGAATGGTCTATAGCCAGGATCTGAACCCTTGGGCTCCAGAGGCCGTGTCCTTAACTACAAGGCTAGGCTGCCAGGGGAGAGGCCGTCTTCCAGCCTTGCTGTGCCTCTTTCTTGAAGCTTCTTGTGAGGTGCACGTATTCCCCGCGAGGGCCCACGTGCCAGGGCCTAGTCGGCCTCCTGGGTATGAATTAGTTTAGCAGATCCTTCCCTCCCAGTCGGAGCTGACTGCGGGCCTAAGGATGAGCCCTGGGCTTCTTGTGGGGTGGGTGGGGAAGGGGGCCTCACAAGATGGCCTGCGGGTCAAGGAAGAGAAGGCAGGGTCGTCAGGGCCGCTGAGGGTGGAGGAGACAGGGAACAGTTAGGTCCTCAGCTCAGTAGGGACAACAGCTGGGAAACATGAGGAACCGTAAGGGTAGAGGGAGGAAGGGTCCGGGCTGACCCCTCGCCGCCAATGCTTTTGCTGTGACTTCCTGGAGTGGAGCAAAGGTGCTTGAAAACAGACAGACAGGGGAGTGGACAGACAGACAGGGCAGTGGAGGGGTGGCAACAGGCCTCGAGGCCCGACCTGGGCGTCAGGGTCCTGGGGGCCATAGCCTGAGCCCTGACCCTCCGAGGATGCCCCAGGCTACCCCATCAGAGTCCAGAGCCATGGTTCTGAATTCGAACCCCCCACACCCAGTCCTGCGCTTGGCGACCAAAAGGAAGGAAGTGGGTCTGTGCCAGCTGGATGCCAGATGCCGGATGCTGCCAGGATCCTTCTGTTGGCATTGCCTAAAAGCCCAGAATAAACTTCTGCGGCCACACACATGCTGTGGACCATTCAGGGCCCACTGCGTGCTCCCTGGGTCTTCGCGGCGAGGTGGGGAGGTGGCCCAGACTACCCTCACCTCAACTGTAAGGGCTTGAGCTCAGGGAGGTTGTCACTTGCCCAGGATTCAAACCCAGAATTGCACACACCGAGTGTGATACTCTTTCCACGAACCCCAGGGCTGTACCTCAGGGCTCCCAGCCAATGCCGCCAGCATCGGGGTCTTCCTGGGGCCCCTGAACCTCCGGAGTTCCTTGCCTTCCAGACCCTCTGGGCACTGCTTCCCAAACCTCTGTTTGCTTCAGAATTGCCTGGGGAGTGTATTTAAGATGGAGATTCCCAGAGTTCACCCCTCTTCCCAGAGATTTTGACTGCGCAGGTGTGGGTTGGGGCCCAGGGCTCTGAATTCTTAGCACCCACCAAATCATTCTAAAGACAGGAGGTTCCCGGATGCACCCAGCTCCAAGAAACCTGTGCTATTTGCTGCCTCAAACTCTTTCCCATGCCAGGGGGGGCCATAAACATCCAAGGGATGAACAAGGACCCCTCTATCCCTGGTTTTGTCTCTCAGGGTTCTCTTGTGGGTTTAACATGTTATAAAGGGCCACGGGAGACTTTTTCAGATTGCAGATTGGTTGTCTTTGCAGGCTCCAGGCTGCTTCTCCTGGGTTTCATGCCTCAGGGAAGGGACACGTGAGGTGAGAGGGCCACCTTGAGGTCGTGGCCAGGGCATGGGGCTGCACCCACATTTTCAGACCAGGTTGCTGCTCTCTTTGGCTAAAGTCCTAGAAGGGAGCCCAAGACCCCAAGGCAGTGTTTCTCAAATTGTGCTCCAGCCACCTTAGAATCACCTGTGGGATTTTTTGTTTTTGTTTTTGTTTTTGTTTTTCGGTGCAAATGCAGATTCCCGCCACCTAACCTTGCTTTATTGAGTGAGAATGGGGGAGTGGGAGCCAGGGCCCAGGACTCCGCATTCTTAGCTAGCTCCTCAGCCAATTCTTATGCTCGTGCATTGTTGAGATATCTTGCTATAGAACACGGACTTTGCAATGTCTCAGACCAGGGTTCAAAGCTCAGCTCTGCCACTAAATAGCTGTGTGGGTGGTCTGGAATTAATTCCTTAACCTTTATGAGACTCTGGCCTCCTCCTCTCTAAGAAGTGGGTTACTATGCCGGCTTCTTGGGGATGAAGTCAAACTGTGGGAAAATCGATACACAGCACCTGGCATATAGGAACCTCCGGGGAGGCGCACCCAGCCACATGGTAAAGAGAGGGATGCACAAGTTAAATGCGTTCCCTGGGAGGGAAGGGCTGGGAGGGGACGCGGAGCATTACTCATCCATGGCAAACACTGAGCTGTTCTAACACATTTCTGACCCACGTTTCCTGCAGGGTGAGCTCAGTGAAGCCTTTCAAGGTGACCAGAGCTGGTTCCCATCCTCAGGTGCGAGCCATCCCAAGTCGGAGCCAGGTGATGTAAACAAAACAACCATTCAGTTTGGCTTCTCCAAGGCAAGTCCTCCATCCACCACCCCCACCCCCGCCCGCTGTCCAACCCCTTTCCCCTCCACTTTACATTCCCAAACCCCTCTTGTGGTGGGACAAGGTCAGCCAAGGGCCCCGGGACCTTTAGACTGGCAGCTGGCTGCTGGGAATGGGGAGCCTGTGAGTCTTCCTTGCCTTGGCTCTCCCAGTCTGGCTGATCCAAAGAAATGCCAATGCTTTCGAGAAGCTTCAATCATTCATAACGGGCCAGCTCCCTCCGGAAATGCTCCCCAGCTCTGCTGAAAGCCTGCCAGGGGACGTGGTGACGTGGAGCTCTCAGCCCACACAATGGACACCGGCAGAACAATGTGAAGCAGGGAAAACATCCCGCTTGTCCTTAGGCTCACATCCTCCTGGGAGCCCACCCCACGCCCATCCCAAGGCTCCCAGAGCTAGTGGAGAAGGTGGGGGGGGGGGAAGGAGAGGGAGGGGTGCAGAGAGGGGCCCGGGGCAGCTGTGGAAGAGGGAAGGTGAAGAGTGGCTGTATTCTGAACCAGTTGGGCGAGTCAGATTCAAAGTCAAATCTGCTTATTCTGGGTCCTCTGCCAGTGACAGGGGCCAAGGGCTCAACAGCCTCACACTGGAACTGGATTAAGAGCGGATTAAAATCGGAGCTGGCAAACAAAGCAGTTAGTTCACTGGGCAGCGAGGCAGGTAGGTATACCTGGTGGGAGGTCTTGCTATGTCATTTAACTAACCGTGTGCAAGGTGTGAAGCCTCCCAGAACCTCAGTTTCCACATCCATGAAATGGGGTAATCGTGCCTGCCCTGTCTACCTCACAGGTTGTTTTCAGAGCAAAATGGGCTAGTGTGTGTGAAGGGCCACAGTCATTGCAAACGGATTACTTGGTCACCAGCTGGTGTTGTTACCCTAACAAAGCAGTTAGGGGTGGGGTGGGCGTGAGGACCACCCAGGCAGCTTACAGTCCGAGCCCTAGGAAGAGACCTAGCAGACACTGGAAACCTGAGTACAGAATGCAGGCTGTTAGAATTTCTAGATAGTCAGGCTTGGGCATAGGACTAGCTGGAGGTGAGGGTGTTGGAGGACTTACCTAGAGGTCACATTACCGTATTTCAGCTCTGGTTTTACTCAGGTTGTGTGTATTTGGGTGACTTTTGGGTATATGGAGGTCATGAGAGGCTGTTGGTGCCAACAGAAAGGAGCATACAGAAAATATTCATCGGGCTGATCAAGGAAGGCTTCCTGGAGGAGGAGAGTTTAAGGCATGCTTGAAAGGAGGAGGGAGGGAAGTGATTCATACAAAACACTGAAGGGGAAACAGGTTGGTGTAAAATCTGGAGCAGGGAGGACACTGTAGGGCATCTGGGCCCCCCCTTCATTATAGGACAGAGGAATTGAGTCCCAGCAAAGGGAAGGCATCTGTCCGAGGCCCAGTGAGTCTGACGGAGCTGGAGCTGCTGAGGGAGGTGGAAGGAGAAGTCCAGGCAGAGGGAATACGGACAGACGGACTATGGAGGTGCAGAGGCTTTAAGAGAGGAAGCCCTTTTGGGGAAGGGGGGTCCTTGGCCCAGCACCATGAGTGCAGAGGCAGTGGATGGTCAGACCCAGGTGGAGAAAGAGGGGACCTTGCCGAGGAGATGCCAGTAGGAGAGTCAATGGGATGTTAGACCCCCACTGCACCAGGGCCACATTCTTTTGGGTGGAGGGAGTAGAGTCTGGAAACACCTAGAAACCAGACTGGCTTTACCTTGTGACTGTAAATGGGCACTTATGCCTACAGAGGTCTGAGCACAAGGCAGAGGTAGCCTGGGGCGGGGGGGGGGGGGCGCTCCCTGCTGCTGGGCTGGGGAGGAAGGGACTGGAGAAGAGGGGATTCTAGCAGATTCCTGATGTATCAGATGTTTCATTTTTATATTAGCTCATTTTTGTTCACAACCCTGACCTGAACAGAGAGTGTAAACAACTCAGGGTAGGAGGCTCCTAAAACTCACAGGTGCTGCAAACGCTGAGGAAAGGGAGGGGAGGGGAGGGAGGCTCACAGCGGGCAGGGCAGGGGGCTCACATCCTCTGGGATTATCACCAGGGCATCTGTGAGGTGCAGATAAACGAAGCCACTTCGAAGCCACTATTATTATTTCTGCAACTGGCTTATCTCTCTCTGACCAGACGTGAGTTCCTTGAGGAAAGAGCACTGTTTACTTATTTCTAAATCTTTAGTGTTTCACAGAGTTGCTTGGGCCAAGGAGATTTTTAACAAATGTCTGTTAAAGTACAAAAAAACCCATTTAAAAAAATACAGCACTCTGCCTAAGCCATAGATGTGTAAGGATAAGGGACATCAGTATTCTCAAGCTCTGATGGCCGTTTGGGAGGATGGGTGGCTCGTCTCGCACAGAAGGGGTTTTACTCATCCCTGTGTCCCCACACAAGCCTTCCTCCCTCTAGTGAGAAACCTTTGGCTTCTGGTCACAGCACTCACCGCCCGGTGAGACACTCACCGCTGTCTGCTTC